TACCAGTAGTAACCCTGCCTCTGTGTACACACAGAATTATTTCTGTCCAAGCTACATGTCTATTTGTAAGAATATACAGTACAAAATGTTACAGGGAAATCTAAATAATATTTTCACAACCTGCTTTGTTAAACTTTTGGCTCCTAGCTGCATTGTGTAAAGATGCCCAAGGAGTCCAGTGAACAACACGGCATACTCTACAAACACTGTACTTACTGAAACCACTGTAGTTAGATACTTTATTGATCCCGTGAGGGAAATTGCAGTGCAACAGCAGCTTAGCACAGTCAACACAGCACAGTGTAACGAAATAATACAACAATACCATACATACAATACCACAATAAACAGAAGCAAAGGGTAGTTTTCAAGGAACACTGCAGCCCTAATTCCTTAATTTTGTCTCTTTCTCACTCCTTGCTCATCTGTCTCTCTGACTCGGCAGAGTTTCAGCGAGACCTGACTTTCATTCTCTCCTCTGATTGTCCCAGCTGAACGACAGGCAGGTACAGCAGGCAGCAGAAAGTTAATGTTGGGCCTCTGTCTGTCACAGATGCAGTGTAGAGGAGCATGTACTGTAGTTCTGTGAGCAGGGCAGTGCTGGCATGACATTTGCTGACATGGCTTGAAGATTGCATCTCCAGAGAGCACAGAAATGTCCAAGGGTGAGAGTCTGCACACATGCACACAGCCCTTTCCCCTCGCGTGCTTTTTTTTCCCATTTTGCTTTGAGCGCTTTCAGTGCTCCAGCTGTTCAGAGAGTAGCCGGTGCTGTGCCTGAGCACAGGTTATTTGATCCCTCAGTAATAATGCATGAATAATGTAATATAAAACAGAGGCAGGCAGGAGATCGGAAGAGGCTAGAGTGATCGTCTCTGTTCCATTAGGAAGTTACCTCTCGAGCTCCCTAGAGGAGAACTGATGAGTAGGTCAGCTATTTGCAGCATTGGGGCTGTTCCACATCTGCATAAGTCTTTTCTCCTGAACCAAAGAGAAACAGACAAGCAGATGGAACGTGTTTCTTAAAGTTTGTGTGGGTATCAGTGTCATCAAAACATCTGCAGCAGCAATTGTTTTAGGGGGATTATAGAAAAGTGGTTTGAATCCGACTGCTCTTTAAGGCATGCTTCTTTCTAAGTATGAAAAAGGATTGTCTCTGCAGTCATTCCTGCTACGGCAGGCTAAAAATAGAATCCCCATGATACCCACTTCTTAAGATACAGTATATAGGACATCAGATAGACTGCAGACCAAGCTCATTTAGCTGTTCTTTGTGCTGCAAGGAGGGAAGCAGCAAGACAAAGCACATCCAGTAATTCTTACAGTAGTTGCTGGTTACAACAGAAATTCTGCACTGATAGGTCCAGTGGCTGCAGTATCCCAGGGTTCACTGGGTTTTTCTTTTCCCTGTCTCCGGTGTGCCAGCGCACAACACAACACAGCTGAGCAGCATACCCTTGTGGAGTGACCTAAATTGCTAACACGGCACCAGGCTATCTCCCTCTCCATCTCTGTTCCTCGCCTCCTCGCTGCCTGTCACATGTCAGGGGCACATGTACTCTACCACATGTTCCTTCATCTCTTTCAGGGTTATTCAGGACCCATTTATTCACAGCTCTCACAGGATCGGGGGAGTGCTTCTTGTTCTTTCCAGTCTGCTCATCAGCTGAGCTATACGTTAACCGGCTGATACGTGTAATGAAACAAAGGTGGGCAGGTTGAGTGTTTAGAGTGTTCAAAAAAACTTTTAAATATCTTTAGAATATCATAGTATGGATTTCAAACACATGTGTATACTGCATATGTAGTGTGTATACATAAATAAAGTGCTGTTATGATGTAGAAGCATGCAGGGTGATTTATTTATAAGAACACTATACCCTGATGTACTGTCTATATCATTGTTATGGTAGTATTTTTGAAATTGCCGTGGCTGTAAAGCATCAATGATCATCATTCTAATTAGGTAGGTTACTGTAAGTCCCCTTTTCAGGCCATAAAGGCCCATGGGGGAATGGGAGGTAAGGGCCACCATTTTTCTCAACCATCCGACACTGGAGGTGGAGGTGATGTGGTCAGCATCACACTCTGGCCGGCTTATTACCCCCGGAAGGATTAACTCACTTGGGAAGCAGGCTGAGTGGACCTGGGAGCTGTCTGGAAGGAATTGGAGCAAGCTAAATCACCTGCCCCTTGCTGGGATTGGACCCAGGACCCAGGACCCAGCACGGCCCTTGCCGCCAGAGCCACCACGACTCCCATTTGAATTAGAGAGACCCTAAATAATGCTTCCACTATATGGGATAGAGTGCTGTGTACCGTGGGAGCGTGTTTTACAGTGCTGTTGTCAAACCCTGCGGTTCTCGGTGCTCTTCTCAGGCTGCGCGCGGCTGTGCTGTGAGCCCACCGCTCTGGTGCGATGTGACAGTTGTCTTTCCCCGTCGGAGCTGTTTTTGTGCCTTGCGCTTCACGGACGCCACTAGCCATCTGCTGGAGAGACAGTGGTCTGTTCGCAGCCGCCCACATCAGGCCGCGCGCAATAAATAACTAGGAAGTGTGTCGCAGCGCCGGGCTGGTTAGGTTCAACGCCAGATGAAGGATGCTGTCTCACGACTGGCAACTGTGTGTTGCAGTGATGGTGAGAAAATGCATTAGGAAGAGAGTGTACCTTTGAAGCCCCAGAAGCTTTGCTGGTGGCTCAGCAGCAGATACGAGGTTTGAGAATCCGGCTGAATTGCAGGGCTGGAACAGGGTTTTGTATTTCTCTGCTAACACTTAATCAATATGAGAATAGAATATTAATGGCATCAGCACTCGTGAATCAAGGGCCTTCTGTAAACTCATGTCAAGCTGTGGATTCATTTCCTTCGGAAAAATAATTAGAAATTAATGAAACCCAACAGAAATTTTATGCATGGATTGTGATCTCCATTCGAATACCCTGTACTATTTAAAGTCTTTGTAGGAAACGGCAATTGATAAGAATTATAACCTGCATTTCAGGATTCTTATACTCATTGTCTCACATTTTCTTACATACATTTTGCAGCTTTCAGTAATTTGGGAAAACAAAGCACTGCATTTGTTAAGGCTCTGTAGCTGTCACCCCTTCTCCTCTACTTAAGGTGCTGTTTTGCTGTGTGAATTGAAATGCAGACTGTGTGCCAAGCATTTGGCATCAATCTGAGAAACAGTGGGTTGGAACAGTGACTGGTGAGTTTTAGCCCATTGATCCAGAGCACCGGACGGCACAGTGTAAAAAACGGGTGTGAGCTGGGCTCTACATACGTGGATCAGTGTTTTGAAGTCTTTCCTCGGCCCTGCCGGGCGAGCAGTCCGCGAACACTGCGGAGGATGCAGACAGCAGCAGTGTCTGGAGAGTGCCACGGCTGGGGCCCGCGTGAATAAGCCCTGCCAGCTCCAGGAACAGCCAGGCCACGTCCCGCTCGGAGATCAGCAGCGGGGGGAAGGGAGGCAGCCCCTCATGTCTTACAGCCCTTCTGCGGTGGCAGGGGATGGGAGAGGGGACAGGAAGAACCCTGAGCTTGACCGGGCCCGTGGTGTCTCGGGGGCGCGGCGGGACTCATCCTCTTGGGAGGAGCGTGCCGGGGCTCTGGCGTGTGGGTGCCGGGAAAGGCGAGAGGGATCTCATTTTCAGTCCACTCGGGAAACCGGGAAATCCACGGAGCCTGGCAGTAGCGAGCAACGAAGCCGGGCCCCAGTTCACCCCCTGACAGCTATCAAATCTATTTTTAGCCCATTCAGTGCTCATCCCTGAAGTAAAAGTGCTTGCTTCAGGCAAGCAAAGGAAAGCAGTTTGCAGAGGCGTGAGCTAACGCTGCAGCTGAGTGTCAGCACAGTGGCGAACACTGTGTACAGCTTTACACGGTGCAAGGCAGAAATACTGATGAATATTTTATATCTTTTTCTAAATATGTCTCTGAGAAATGGCCACTTAAAATAAGTATCCAAATACTTTCCGCTAATTGAAATTCATTCAATGCCTTGCATTAGGCACTCCACATATTTACATCTGTGCTTTATATAACATTTTTACAATGCTGTCTTATAGGCTGCAGTTGAATGTAAAATCTTGAAGGTATATGTATAATTTGTCAATGGCCTTTTCATTTTGTGTTAGAATGGTTTAGCGTTTGGACTGAAGAATGAAGAATTATTTTTCCAATAAATCACAGGAACAGAAATACAGCTTCCTTGGTCTGCTCCAGGCGCGGCGATGGAAGAATGACAACTTGAAAGCCGTGTGATGTGACGAGTTTGTTTTCAGACAATCGGCGCTTGTTTCATGAACCGAGTTACAAGCGTTCTTTGTGTCTGAGCAGAGAGCAGGGAGGCTTTGTCGTTGACCTTCTGTCCCCCAGCTCCCAGTGTCGTTACGTCATCCATCAGACAGCGAACCCGTGTCTAACCTGGTCTGCGCTCCTCTCTCGGATAGCTAGGAAGAGTGGGGGGGCGCCGTTTCAACAGGCCCGGTCCCATGATGCTGGAAGAGCATCATTCACGAATGTTTGTGTTTGATATAGTGCAGCACCTGGTCGTTATTCTTCGCAGTACACATTACCTGTAGTCCTCAGTTCCTCTTTGACGTTCATCATATTACGTTGTGCCTTGTAACCTCCAGGGTAAAACAGGGATTCTCCTGTAAGTCCAGTGGGCGGACCAGTTGGACACACCCTTCCTTCTGGGCCAGACTCTCCCAACAAGTGCCCCAGTATCCGTTACTGTCCTTTGGATGAAACATTTGGATGAAAGTAGAGGTCCTGACTCTTTGCTCATTAAAGATCCCATGGCACTGTTTTTAAAAGTGGGGGTATTTCCCCAGTGGCCTTGCTGAAAGTCACTCTTGGCTCATACTTTCTGGCCTATCCGGTATTTCCTCTTATTTCAGTGGGTGAGGTAATATCAGCCCGATCTGCTGTGTAATATGGTTGCTAGGCTCTCCTGACCAGTGCCCGTGTCTGTCTCCTACTTCCTTCCAGGTGATCCTATTGATCTGCTCAGGAAGTCAGTGGGGGAGGATGGGGATCTCTACACCACTCTGCTCTCCAACCAGAGCTACTCCTTCCAGCAGGACACCTCCTATTTCTCCGGGGACCTGAGACAGGGGGATAAGGCCGAGGTGGAACAGTCCAACAAGCCGGGGGAGCTGGGAGAGCCGAGGGACCGGATACCGAGCTTCGAGTCGCAGGGCCTGTTCAGCTCCGACTCGGGGATCGAGATGACCCCAGGAGAATCTATTGACGTGGCCAAAAACCTCATGGATTCGGAGAAGATGGGGGCCTACAACTATATGGACATCCGCTCTTCTGAGGCCCCGGAGACACAGCAGCGGCAGCCGCATGCAGAGTTGCTGCAGGACAGCTGGACGGAGAAGAGTGCGAGTGGAAGGGACGTCACACCCCACATGCTGACGAACCTAGGGGATTACTCCGAGAAAAGCCCACCCGTGACCGCCGAGACCCTGGGGCCCGCGCTGGACAAGCACCCCTGCCCCTTTGTGGAGGATCCTTCTGACGAGGAGCTGTCCGACTATCAGTCCTCCTGGGCCCCAGGCACACCGCAGGCCGCCAGCCCGGTGAAGATCACCCTCACCCAGTCCGCCGCCCCCCCGCCACCGCTGTCCCCCCAGGTCACCGTGTCGGAGAGGGAGAGCATTCTGAGCCTGGGCCTGGAGGGCGTGCCCACCGTCACCCTCTCCGAGCCCGAGGACGACAGCCCCGGCTCCTCGACACCCCCTCTCACAGGTACAGCCCCCTCCTCGCTCCTGATGCGCAGTTCCAGCTCGGCTCTGACCTGTACCCCAGTGTGAGACTGTGGGTACTCGTACCCTCGTCAGTTCCTTTTTAATATTTGCTGAAACCTTGTCAAATCTGTCTTTTGTCAGTGAAATGAGTTGGTTTTTTTCCTGTTTGGTTTGAACTGCAGAATAAAATGTCAGGGTATCTTGAGAATATTATTACCCTATAAAAATGTTACTTTCGCTCTGTAGGTATTTGCTGCAGTGGGAAACTTTTCTCCCTGTTATATGATTTTTCTTCAGTCTGACCCGTTTGCATCAAAAAAACATCTCCATTCTGTGATTTTCAGCTCGCGCTGTTAATGCAATAGAGAGACATAAGCAACATTCCAGGTTTCACAGGCATGTTCTTAAACTAACCAAAGCAGACCCATTGCACCACAATGGCATTTAAAGGCCCAATAACGTCCTTCTTCATGTGTGCTGAGTTTCTCTCGGCTTATGTCAGGTCCATCTGAAGCTGCATGTTGGAGCCCATTACCAGACTGTGTGACATCTGTGCTATTAAATCATATCATATTTTTATTACCATGAATAATAATAGGTCCTAAAATTGAACATTTGTATTTTTGCCTTGGAATTGACAGTTATTTTCATAGAATACCCAGTAGGGGGGAAATGAGAACTGCAAACACTTTCCTTCAACACACCCGCTGTCAGATAACTCTCAGTCCGATATGTTGAGAGTTTCATAAGGTCTTACAGGACAATTAGTATCTTATTGCACTGCAAGCTCACAGGCACCCAGCCAGCTCCTAGGGCCCAGTGCAGACTGGCACGCCTAGGGCATCCTGATTAAGACTAAAACTCAGTCCCCTCGCCATCCCAAGCAGTGCTCGGCTAATGACATTCCAGGCACAAACTGGTTGAACCAGAATCAGGAGCCCATATAAAACTCGTCTCGTGACGCAGTACAGGAAAGCACAACGACTGCTTCAGGTTTAACGGATTTTGAGCTCTTCAGCCGCCTCCGGTGGGTTTCGGTGAATTTTGATGAAACTTAATTGAATACCACGAACCGCGGCCGGATCAGACTCTTTGCTTTGCCGAGAACTAAACTGTGCTCTGTGCCAAAGATGGAGCATCCCGGGAGGGCGTGGCCTGAGATGAGGGCGGTACATCCTCACTTGTCAGGGATCATCATTTATCATGGTGATAAATGATGGCCAGCAGCCATATCACCCTGCAACTCACAACTGGCAACCCACTGAAGCTCAGCAGGTGTGAGCCTGGTCAGTACCTGGATGGGAGACCTCCTGGGAAAAGCTAAGGTTGCTGCTGGAAGAGGTGTTAGTGGGAACAGCAGGGAGCGCTCACCCTGCGGTCCATGTGGGTCCTAATGCCCCAGTATAGTGACAGGGACACTATACTGTAAACAGGTGCCGTCCTTCGGATGAGACGTAAGACCGAGGTCTTGACTCTCTGTGGTCATTAAAAATCCCAGGGTGTTTCTTGAAAAGAGAAGGGGTGTAACCCCGGCGTCCTGGCCAAATTTCCCATTGGCCCTCACCAATCATGGCCTCCTAATAATCCCCCTCTGTGAATTGGCTTCATTACTCTCTGCTCTCCTCCCCACTGAGAGCTGGTGTGTGGGGAGTGTTCTGGTGCACTATGGCTGCCGTCGCATCATCCAGGTGGGGCTGCACACTGGGGGTGGTGGAGGGGAGACCCCATTACCTGTAAAGCGCTTTGAGTGGAGTGTCCAGAAAAAGCACTATATAAGTGTAAGCAATTAATATTATTATTATTATGATGGCTGACAGAACTCTGATCTCATGTGGTTTGTTTCCTCTCTCCCGTCTGTTGCAGAGGAGTCCGAGTCCCTGTCTGAAGTGTCATTCCAGGCCGGCGGGGGGAAGCCAGTGAGTGCACTGGAGTCCCAGCCCCAGGGTGCCGCCACCGCCACCGCCCCCCCGCCCTGGGCCACCCCCTCAGATGAGCCGGGGTCCCCCAAGCCCCCTGCCTCGCCCCCACTGCCGTCTGCGCAGGACCACGAGGCCAGCAGCGCGGAGTCGGGCGACTCGGAGATCGAGCTGGTGTCCGAGGAGCCGCCGGCCCCCGTGGAGCTCCCGGGCTCGGGGTACATGAGTTTCGGGCTGATGGGCGGCCCCCCGCCTTCGCCCGCGTCGCCCTCCATCCAGTACAGCATCCTGCGTGAGGAGCGAGAGGCCGAGCTGGACAGCGAGCTCATCATCGAGTCCTGCGACGCGTCCTCCGCCTCCGAGGAAAGCCCCAAGAGAGAGCAGGACTCCCCCACCCTGAGGGCCCGCGGGCCCGCGGAGAGCCGGCTGGCCGATTCCCCCTCCCGCCACACGGACACCTTGGCCCCCTCCGCGGGCCCCCAGCCCGGCCCCCCGAGAGACAAGCAGGCCGGCGACAAGAACAAGGGCTTAACGCACCCCGAGGACAGTGCCGCGGCCCGCATCAAGTCAAAGCCCCCTGCCGGGCTCCTGGCCCCCGAGGGGCAGGTAGAGCACCCCGTCCCCGACGAGAAGGGGCCCAGGAAGACGTCCCAGAGCCGAGCGGGGGAGGACCAGAGAGAATCCGTGAGGGATGTTGCCGCTGACAGGACAGGGGCCATCGCATTCCTGCATGGCCTCGACAGACAGAAAGGTAAAACCCGCCGGGCCTGGCAGGTCTTCCTTTCTTCCTTCTTCTTTCTCCTTCCTCTCTTGTCCTCTTCTGCCATCTCTCAGGCACCATCGCCTGGCATGCCTGTCTTGTCTTGGCCTGTCTTGTCCTTGCCTGTCCTGGCCTGTCCAGGCCTGTCCTGTCTTGTCCTTGCCTGGCCTGTCCTGGCCTGTCCTGGCCTGTCCAGGCCTGTCCTGTCTTGTCCTGTCTTGTCTTGTCTTGTACTTGCCTGTCCCATCTTGTCTTGTCCTTGCCTGTCCCGTCTTGGCCTGTCTTGGTCTATCTTGGCCTGTCTTGGCCTGGCCTTGACATTTGCTGCCATGGAAGTGTTTGTTTCGTTGTGCCGCCTCTTCCGCCCGTATCGTCTTCACATCTCTCATCTGTAAATTTTGAATGTGTTTGATTTTCATTTAAAAACCTGTCCGTTTTTTGGCTTCTTTTTGTTAACATTTCACCCTCCCTGTGCTCTAATCCAATTCTTTATATTGCTTGTTTCTCTTATAACCTGACAATTTAACTGCAAATGGATCTGCGGTGTCTCTGGATTTTTTTTCCCACCAGTTAGCTAGAAAACATTGTATTCTGGTTCTTCGGTTTCCTTTATAGGTTGCATAGAGACTTACGCTCATTGTGTTACGTGGATATTATATTACACAAGTCAAATACCAAAAAGAAAAAATGTTATATTCTCCAAACCATTTAGGAAACATTTTTCCTTCCTGAGTGCCTCAACCAATAAATGATAAATGAACTTTTAAAGGTGGATGTTACAAAACAACAGCTTCACCCTGATGCTTCTCTTGCCTTGTGTTTGACATTCAGACCTGGAATGTGCATGCCTGTTATTAAACTCTCAAATCTGCAATAAATTACATCGTTTTAGTACCTGTTTAGCTTAATAACGCTGTGCCTCTTCCCTTGAAATGAATAGAGCTCCTTGTGCACAGTTAGTAAATTGCATTTTTTCTAAGCATCAGCAATAGCAATTAAATCCATAGAAATATTTTGCTACATACAGTATGATTGGTGCTAACATCAGTGAAACATCTGACTCGAAATGCAAACGTTCTAAAAAATAGCGTACACTTTTTTTTGACGTGTGACAAAATATTAACAGTGCTCAAGTTCTAGGTCATGGATTCTGAAGTAGGGCAGGGGCGATATGGGAACGCCGCCAATTCCCTATGGAAAAAGTCACAGTGGGAGAGGTCTGGAGAGCACTGGATTATTTGTTGTCCCCCGAGTGTGACTTGCAAGACACTGACGCTGGAGGAGTTGTGCCTCCATTCTCCCCTGCAGTGTTAAATTCTCATCAGCTTGGACCACTAGCAACAGGGCCATAGATCCAGCCATCCTGACCCGTTTCCTAGAAGCATTCTGGGAATCCAGAAGAGCATTTAGAAGCACTGGAAGAAACTCAGAAGTGGACTGAGAGCAGGCTGAGATGTGGAGCCTGGCACAAGGCTTGCAGGGCACAGACTCCAGGTTTCTCTAGGCTCTGTCAGCATGTGCCCTTGAGGGAGACACAGCACTACAAATATGAGTCTCCAAGCCCTGAATTCCCTGCTCTAATTACAGCTTTCTTACGCATTTTAGCTTCTAACGCAGACCCGTTTTTATCTGTGCTGACAGATTGTGCTGAGGATACTTTGGAAACAGCATGCCCAAGGATGACTTTGCAGTAAACAGAAGGTTGGAGACACTTAGATGTTGCACTTTTTATTTATAGCCTAAACTTAAATAAGACTTTTCTCACTCAGGCCTCTCTGAGATAAATGGAGAATCAAGTTTCGTAACACTTGGTGTTAACAGAGCTTGGAGACCTGGGAGATTTTCTGTATACTCTTATTTTCATGTTTTGTCAGGGAATATGTTTTTCTCACCTAAGCATAGCTGAGCAATGTGTTTTCTGTTACCTTCAATTACTCACTGCTTACTGCAGGAGGCATATTCCAAGCTTATGGGTTAATTCCTTGTCAGACTCCACAATACAATACAAACATTTGGGAATTTACCTGAACTATGGCTACTTTAGAAAGTGAAATATCTTACTGTGTGTCACTTCTATTCATGTGAAAACCAGATAATAATTTAAATTTGCTGTGTAGCAGATGGTGTCTTTCTGCTTCAGACACTTAGCCTCTCTATAAAACTTTTATGTAACTGTGATGAAGGTAGTGCAGGCCTTTGCCTCATGATCATCTCTCCTGAGGTTGTCACGTATTGTTCAGTGGTCCTGTTGCGTCTTATCCATGTGAAGCCACAGTCTGTCCTTGTTTGTTGTGCCTCCATTTTGTGTCAGGGTACAGAGCTGGGCCCGCCCTTGGCTTAAATGGAGGTTGCTTGTCACTCAAGGGGAGCTGGGGTATTTAATCCCGGCACTGATGGTGGGGGCAGTGTTGTCTGTGTGGGGTTTGTTTTGTTGCGTTCTGGGCATTTTTTGTTAAATATTTTTTCCCCTGCCTGTATTGGTTATTTTTCCTATGATCCTGTGGCCATCCTCGATTTACTTGCCAGGTGGTGGTTTCACAGTTACTCTATAAAAGCAGCATTAAAAACATCATGATTTGAGCAATGACACCCAGCTGTATAAAGAAGGTCAGAAAATGAAGACGGTCTAAAGGCCTAGAGCGAAGGCTAGTGTCCCCATCACTGCACTCACACAGGACAACAGGCAGCTTCAGAGCAGTGCCTTTCTGCGTGGCCATTGAGTGACACCCTTTCTGGCTGTTTTCTGGGGGTTTCGAAGCAAACGCTGACGTTTATTCTGTTGGTTTGGAAATGTTTAATTCATCTTGTCTGAAATCTTGTGCTCTTTACCCGTCCTCTATGAGAACTAAAAGCCTGGTGTTTTGGCTGTGTACATGCAGCTGCTCTGGGCTCACTGGTGTTTGCTACACAGGTGTATCTCAGCATGCTCTGTGAAGCTGCTGAGCCTGAGAGAGACCACTAACCCCTGCCATGGTGCTGACTGAAGGTCCTGTGGCAGGGGGCTATAAAAGGCTCCCTTTTCTTTGCTCACTGCTGCTCAGTTTCCCTCTTCTCAGCACACCTGCTGCCCAGAGCCAGGAAGCCAACAAGAGCTGCTACACCTTGCAGGTGCTGGCAGTCAAGTGCTTCAGAAAGATGAAAGTCTTAGTCTGTATGGCGGCTCCGCGACATCAGCCCATGAGAAAAGGAATAGTACTGCAAGGAAATTAACCAGGAAAGCATCTGCATGGGAAATCGCAGGACTGCTACATTTCTTTACCAAGGACCCAGTGTCATTATAAACAAGGTCAATGAGAAAGGGGTGAAGAGCAGATCTGTACAGTACATGTGTCTCCAGGTACAGGCACAGCGACCTTGTCCTTGTGCAGGTCAGCAGGTGGGCAGGTTTGCTGTGTGTGTGTTCATATGTTTGAGTTTCCAGATTTATTCTTCTCTACCCAGTTGGGCAGTGCATAACTCACGAGTCCTCGTATTGGCCTGATCACCAGGGCTTATTTAGCACGTGTTCTGTTCAGATGATGGAAATAAGGCTTCTGCTTCTCCTTCTGCTCAGCTGTACTGCATGGCTTCCGATTCTTAATATGAATATGTCTTGGGTTCACACCCAGGGGATTATGGATTTGGTCTCTTTTGTAGTACTGTATGGCTTAATGCCTTAGGCCATAGGCAGACATTACAGTGCGTTTTAGCCACTATGTCTTGATTAGTCTAGATGAGGATTTGTGTTCTGTTTTGAACCCGCACTGATCTCAGACGAGAAACATTGTTCATTGTTAATATGACAGAATTATGTTACTCATGTGGATGGACAGTTAATAGGCCCCGAACTTGAAAGTGGCATTTTTTAACAACAGTAGTTAAATACTAAAGGATGCAGTACAAGTTAAAAGTGTGATCACCAGTAGTGTGCATGACAGCCCTTCCGCATCTGCTGGTGGACGTCATGTGACCCGGGGGGAATGTTCTCGTGTTCTGCACCAAATTCCATTGTTTCAGTCTGCACGGTTTTCAGAATACAGCACTGCCTGCTGACATCCAGCCATACCTAAAAGAGTGTATTTCCTGCAAAACGTTAAAAATAACAACACAGAAGAGAACATGGCTGATTGTATTCTGATGTCTGCTGTCAATTGGGTTATTTGCTATTCTATAAAAATCCCATTGTCCAGTGAAGCAAGATTTAAATTAACAGTGGGACAGAGACTTAATGGTAGCTATTTTTCATAGGTGTTGGAATATAAAGGCACTCTTTGGTTGCTCCCGAAGAGCCATTTCCGTTGAAGTGAGTGTTTTCTGATGTCCCCGTCCTGTTGTGTTTGAGGCAGTACAATGGCTCTCTGGGCCTTTATCGTCAGGGTTGCAGTGCTGTTGTCGTTCCAGACAGAGCCACAGGACTGTTTGTTTTCCCCGTCTCATCAAAAGTCTGTCCTGAGAATCACACCCACAGAGCTCTGGGTGCCTGTGTGGCACGAATGAATCTGACACGAATGAAACCTGCCGAGTTACTGCCATTCGTATGTCACCACCTAACAGCGACAATGAAAACAACACTAGGAACGCTGTGGTTTAAGACTATCGCATCGTCTCTGGGGACAGCGCACACTTTTCTGCGTCTTCAGCAGGTTCTGGCTGTTCCTTTCATCCCTACTTTCACATGCTCGGTAAGAGTGCAGGATACAATATTACAGACATAGTGTGTTCTATTGTATAAAGAGTATAAAGATATGATAAAGTGTTTGTGCCATGTACAGTACTTGCTTTAGTGTTTCTGCGGTAACAGCTCAAACAACAAGGTCTGATCTTTGTTGAATTTTAATATTCTGTAGTCTGAAGTGCTTCCCTTTATATTTTAAATTTATAATCTGCTGATTATATTATTCTTATTTTATAACAAATATAAGGGTAGATATATAAGCACAGGGTCACTGTGCGTTTTGTATTTTCCTTTGGTAATTCATAATATAACCCATCTGATTTTATGTGAAAAAAAT